CGGGGGGGGGGGCAGGGGGGAAAGAGCCCCAGGTGCAGGGGCAGGCCCCAGGTGCAAGCCCGGGTGTGCAGGAGGCTGGGTGAGCTCAGCACCTGGTACAGGTTGGGGGACAGCAGAGGATGGGGCACAAAGGTATAGATGTGGAGGCGGGGACCTGCTCCCAGCTGGGGATAGGTGAGGGGGGCTCAGGACAGGGAGCACCTGTGGGAGCCAGCCCACCCTCCCCCCCACTCCAACCTGCACTGTTGATGAGGACGCGGGTGCTGCCTCCTGCTGCGGAAGGAGCTGCCAGGCTGCAGGTCCCGCATCGAGCAGCCGGACACGGAGGGCACCGTGCTGGGGCCGCCACATCTTCATGGGCTACCTGGGCATGGAGGCCACGACCAGCATGGTGTGGAGTGGGTGAACCAGCGCGCCCCATCCCATGCCCACCTTGTGCAGAAATGGGCCCTGCTGCCCAGGGACTCCTCCATCGCCAGTGGGGAGCTGGGTGAGTGCTGGGCACCAGAGCGGGAGCCCAAGAAGGGCTGGGGACAAGGACTGGGGCCTGGCGCTGACGGCTGCAGCCAGGAGGAGCTGGCTACGCCCAGCCTGCCCTCTCCGGCCAGGGAGCCTGCCCAGCTTCCACCGCCCGCAGCTCTTGGGGCCGCTCCAGGGACCCTGAGAAGCTCCCTGCAGCCCCTTGCCCCTCCAGGGCCCCTGGGAGCCGCCTGCCCCCATGCCCTGGGGTCGAGGTGATGGGTGCTGGTGGGAGGGATCCTGAGCTGTGCTGCCCGGGAGCTTCCTGGACAGGTGACCACGGCAAAGCCCCGGCCCTGGCTGGCGGAGCAGCCCGTGGTGGCGGGGCTAGGGCTGTACCAGGCCGTGTGGAGGACGGTGGGGTGCAGGGAGCAGGAGCAGGCCTGGCCAGGCTGGGCACGGGGGTAGCAGGTGCTGTCCTGGGCCACGGGAGGTGGCTGCAGCCCACAGTTATAGCCAGCCCGGCCCTGCCACTCTCCCCTCCGCTTGTCAGCAGGTCCCACGGCCAAGCTGAAACACCGGGTGTTGCTGAGCATGTACCAGGACGCGATCAATGGCGCCTGCATCCCACTGCAGCTGTGCCCCTCCGGCCAGCCGGCTCTGTGCCTGGGGACACGCTGCTGCAGCCCCTCCGTGCCCAGCCCTGGGTGCAGGCCTGTGCCCCTTCCCACGCTGTGGAGCTAGGGCTGGGGCTGGGCCCAGGGGAGGCCTGGGCAGAGCCCGGGGGCAGGCACAGGTGGGACTGGCCCTGCCTCAGCAGATCAACAGGGAGAGGCAGACGAGGCTTATGTTGGTTTCTAGTTCTCGGTTCCTTTTTCAAAATGTTCGTTCACAATTAAAATTTGTTAGCATAATGAGACAAGCTGAAGTGTTAATCAAATATGTCTCTGCTAATAGAAACGTAATAGCCTACCACACGTCAAGTTGTCGTCAGCAGCAGTCCCCCGATACAAGGATGACGGCCTTCCCGCAGGCGGGGAAGTCCCTGGTGAGGCTGAAGAGGCCGAGCGGAGACCTGCGTGTGCGACTGCGTGTGTGGCAGACATTTCTGGTGGAAGGAGCGGATCCTGCTGGTGTCGGGTCACTGCTCTTTCCCCTGTCTCTCTTGCCTATCCACCTCCACGGCGCAGCGAGCTGGACTGAAATGGCCAATGCCTCGCTGCATCTCACCACGCTGCTGGGGATGATTCAGTGCTCTAGTGGGGCGCATCGTCCCTGGGGCTGTGAACACACTTTCTTCTGGAAGCTGTCGGGGGCACGCAGGGTTTCCCCTGATAAGCAAGGTGCAAGAGGAAAGGCTTTAAAAAAAGCAAACTGTTTATTTACAATTTATTTATTTAGGGCCGCCCTGCAGAAGGGACACGGACACGTTGGAGAGAGTCCAGCAGAGGGCAACGAAAATGGTTGTGGGGCTGGGGGACATGCCCGGTGAGGACAGGAGGCAGGACTGGGCTGGTTGAGGCTGAGGGGGATTGAACAGCAGCCTTCACCTCCCTGCAGGGGGGCTGCAACGGGGACGGAGCTGGGCTGGTCTCAGTGGGGGCAGGTGACAGGACAAGGAGCAATGGGCTCACGCTGCAGCAGGGGACGCTGAGGCCGGGAGCCCCGCCCCGCGGGCGGAGGTGCAGCCAACAGGGGGCCGTGGAGGACGCGGCTGGCGGCCAATGGACGGCGGCGGAAAGGGGGCGGTGCCGCTGAGGCCCCACCCCCGCCTTGCCACCCACGGCAGGGGCGGGCACTCCGGCGGAGTGACAGGCCCGGCAGCCAATGGCAGCGCAGCCCCCCGGGGCGGCCGGGCCAATGAGCCGG